GAGATCGGAATTAAATCTATTTTTATTGGCGGTGATGGATGGGATGAACCTGAAAAACTGCTGGGGACTTTAGATAACAATACGCCGTTGGAAGGATCTTATTTTGTCAGAGATTTTAGTGCGGAATCCCCGGACGCAGCACCATTTGTTGAGGCTTACACAGCAATGTTCATGATGCCGCCAGATGGTCCTGCAGCTTGGGGTTACGATGCGATGTCCGTATTAGCTATCGCAATGGAAAATGCTGGACGCTTAGAACCTGATGCAATTCGAGATGCCTTGGCTAACATTACGGATTATCAGGGTGCATCTGCTATCGCTGGTTACGATGAAGATCGCCACCCCATTAAAAGCGTTGCAATTCACACAATTCGTAATGGACAGATAGTCCTTTACAAAACAGTATCACGAACTGTGGAACACGAAGAATTCGCACTGGACCGATAATGTATGCGAACCTAACTCACACATATAGGTGCGGTTTTGCGGTGTACCATAGGTGTCAATTTAGGGTTTCCGTACTCCTGTAGGTTGGGTAGAACGGAACTGAGAAGATGGAGGTTGATGTTCCAAACACACGTCAAATCTAATACACTGCTGTATTCCTCAAGAACAGAGTGAAACCCAACTTCATACCATATCCACAGAGGTGTGGCACTTGAGAACAAAAGTGTTGGGTTTCACTCGTTTTTTGGTTAATGTGGCGTATATGGAGAAAGTTTCATTTTTCTATGATTTTTACGATTTTGGTGGCATCCGTTCTACCCAACCTACGATACCATGATGCGTTTTTTCTTGAATTGACACGTATGGTGCGGTTTTGCGGGTTGTACCATAGCGTCAATTTAGGGTTTCCGTACTCCTGTAGGTTTGGGTTAGAACGGAACTGAGAAGATGGAGGTTGGTGTTCCAAACACACGTCAAATCTATACACTGCTTTATTCCTCAAGAACAGAGTGAAACCCAACTTCATACCATATCCACAGAGGTGTGGCACTTGAGAAACAAAAGTGTTGGGTTTCACTCGTTTTTTGGTTAATGTGGCGTATATGGAGAAAGTTTCATTTTTCTATGATTTTTACGATTTTGGTGGCATCCGTTCTACCCAACCTACGATACCATGATGCGTTTTTTCTTAAATTGACAGGTATGGTGCGGTTTTGCGGTGTACTCACCCAAATTTGGTTTCCCACACGCGGAAACCAAATTTGTCTTTGCTTTACATTTGCGATCTGCATTCCTAACCGCACCGAACACCGTAACTCTCCAGCCAAACAAAGTAGGGTAGTTCTCGACTGCACCGGATCCACACCTCTTATCGCACGTCAGATAACGTAAACTAAATATCCTTTGAGCAGCGGCAAAACTGAGATTGACAAATCAGCATTCTCATGGTATAATTTTTAGCAAATGAGTTAATACTGCCTAACCGGAGTCCAGAAAAGAAATACAATGAGCACATTTTACGTCACCACACCTATCTACTATCCCAACAGTGAACCGCACGCAGGAAACGCCTATACCACTATCGCCGCCGATGTCTTAGCGCGATATCACCGGCTCAAAGGCAATAAAGTCTGCTTTCTTACCGGCGTTGACGAACATGCTGCCAATGTGTATAACGCTGCTAAAAAGGAAGGGCTCTCACCACAAGCTTATTGCGATAAGATCGCGCCAACGTTCGTTAAGCTGTGGGAACGCCTGAACATCTCGCATGACATCTTTTTCCGTACAACCAGCGATTTACACAAGCGCGGCGCGCAAAAATTCCTTAATGTACTCTATGACAACGGTGATGTTTATAAAGGGAAGTACGAAGGGTATTACTGTCTCTCATGTGAGGAGTTCTTTTCAGAGAAAGAATTAACAGACGAAAAAATCTGTCCTGTTCATAAACTGCCACTGCAATGGTTGGAAGAGGAGAATTATTTTTTTAGACTCTCCAAGTATCAAGATCGTTTACTCGCGCATATCCACGAGAATCCGGATTTCGTCTACCCTGTTGCTCGCCGCAATGAGTTATTAAATTTTCTGGAATCTGGATTACAAGATGTCAGTATTTCCCGTGCCTCCCTATCTTGGGGAATTCCGTTCCCGTTTGATCCGGAGCATATCATATATATTTGGATAGAGGCTTTAAGTAATTATATTACTGCTCTCGGTTATGAAACAAGTAGCGAGCATTATCAAACCTTTTGGCCCGCTGATGTTCACATGATGGGAAAAGACATCACCCGTTTTCACGCGCTGCTTTGGCCTGCGATGCTGATGGCTGCGAACTTACCACTTCCTAAACATATCGTCGGGCACGGTTGGTTGACAAAAAATGGCGAAGCACTGAGCAAAACGCGCGGCATCTTCATTGATATGGATGGCGATATTGCCACTTATGGTGTTGATGCGTTCCGTTATTACCTCCTGCGCGAATTTAGTTTCGGCAACGATGGTGATTACCGTCCCGCTCGTTTGCACGCGCGTTACAATGCAGATCTCGCGAACGATCTCGGCAACCTTCTCAATCGTGTCCTCGGTTTAGTCAACAAGAACTTTGAGGCAATTCCCACACCGACAACACCGGGTGAATTTGACGACGAAGTCAAAGAGATGGCACAAACGACGGTAGATAAATTAGATGAGCATATAAACACGTTCGCTTTTGACACGGCATTGGAAACTATCTGGGAATTCGTCAGGCGCATCAATCGCTATATCCAACAGACACAGGTCTGGACGCTTGCGAAGCCGGAGACGAAACCGAGAATGGGCACGATCCTTTACAATAGTTTAGAGGCACTCCGGCTCATCTCTGTGCTAATTTCTCCCTTTATCCCCGAAACTGCTGAGAAAATCCAGAAACAGATCGGTTTAGCGGATTTCGATACTGTCGCAGAATGGGGATGTTTACCTGCAGGTCTAACAGTCAGCAAGGGTGAACCTATTTTCCCACGCATCGATACCAAAGAGCAGAAACAACCACAACCGGAAGCGGCAGCCAAACCGAAGCAGCAGAAGAAAAAGAAGACAACCGATCTGGTCTCCTTTGCCGATTTCCAGAAACTTGATCTGCGCGTCGCGCTTATCCTTGCCGTTGAACCCATTGAAGGTGCTGACAGGCTTCTCAAGTTGCAAGTAGACCTCGGCACTGAGAAACGGCAGGTTGTTGCTGGGATTGCCGAACACTATAAACCGGAAGCACTCGTCGGCAAACAGGTGATAGTCGTCGCGAATTTGGAACCCGCCACTATCCGTAACGTCGAGTCACACGGCATGATTCTTGCAGGAAGCGGAGACTCCGTAGTCTTAGCAACCCTCGAAACCGAAATGCCCCTCGGCACACAAGTAAGGTAGCAGACACACACCGTGTGCCGTGGCAAGATGCAAAGTAGTAGGCACGCTCCGTGTGCCGTGACAAAATGCCAGATATAGAAAACACCCTCAAAACCCACATTCAGAACGATCAAGCAGGCTCTTTTGTCGTCATTGTGCCGACCGATGCCGCACGTTTGAAACGCCAACGTGAATTGGTAGGTTATCATCCAAACCGCGCAGTTGCTAATTTACGCGTCTATACACTCGGAAGTTTCATTCAAAGGTTATATGACCAAGTTCGTCCAGTAAAATTACACATTTCCCAAGGAGTCCAGAATCTCTGGCTCCATGAAATCGCGAATCCTCAATCCGACAATCCTGATGCCTACCGTTATGATACGTTCCGGCCCAACCAAAACGTCCCTGTGTCGGATAGTACGCTTTCCCTCATGGCAGACACAATTAACCGCCTTAAGGAATACGGAGAGGACACGCTAAATATTGGAAATAGTGAATCACAAAATCCAACCGAGGATGATCTCGTTCGCATTTATAACAATTATGAGACCAAACTCAAAGACCGTTGGATAGATGAACAAAGCAAGCGTCTGCACCTTGCTAACACTAAAAATTTTGGTTCGCTTATGAGCGGGGCATTTCCAAGAGTCAATCTTGTTGTTGTTGAAGGGTTTACTGTGCTTTCCAAAGTCGACATCAAAATCTTGACCCACATTGCCAAGATGCCTAATATAGAGGTGTGGTTCCGTACCGACTGTGTTGCCGAAAACCAAGCTCTCTATAAAAATATTACCGACCTCGTCTCGCAATTTAGAGCCGTAAATGCCAATATCGATCCCGACTACGGGCGCGAACCCGAACGGCATCAACATTACGCCAATAACCTGTTCCGGACGGATAATCCTCGCGTAACCCCAATTGCGGATTCTCACATTAAAGTGTTGGAACCTGCCGATCGTTCCGAAGAAGTAGCACAGATTGCGCACCTGATCCAAAAACATGTCTCAGAGGGGCACTGCAAGTTAAATGAGATCTGTGTTGCCTCTTACAATATGGGACAGTATGAACGACGCATCGCTGAGATTTTTCCAACTTACGGTATCCCCTACTCGCTCGTAGAAAGGCTGCCCTTGACAAGATCAGAGGTTGTCAAAGCGATATTTTCTCGCCTTTCATCACGCCGAGTTCCGCTAAATGATACCTATTTCTCTGATGTTGAACCGGCATCACATACAAGTAGATTTCACCCCAATGAGTTTCAGAGATATGTTGATGACTTACTCAAAGACGGTGCGGTCGTCCAACACATTCTAAACCCGATGCTCCCCAAAAATAGCGAAATAGTTGAAGGTGAGGTTGAAGCGTATCGCCAATTCAAGAGGATTGTTAAAGAACTCTGTGGCGTGCTAAAATCGGAGAGCGAAAGATCGCGATCCCTTGATGAATATATTGAAAAACTCCATCACATTGCAAAGCATACAAACTATCAAAACAGGGCAACGACGAAGGAAGAAACCGTCAAAATTGCGCCGCAACTCAGTGAACTGAGAAACTTGGAGTTTAACACCGTCTTTTTATGTAATTTTGTAGAGGGCAGTTTTCCAGAAAATTATCGCCCGGATCCACTACTTCCAGACCACTCTTATCGTACTGAAGAAGAGCATCTGTACAATAATCGGTTCATGTTCTATGGCGTACTCAAGTCTTTTAGAGAACGACTTTATCTCCTTATTCCACAACGCGAGCGCGAAGCGGAACTAATCCCTTCTCCTTTTCTTGGACAATTAAAAGCAATCACCGACGTTGAGACGATTGAAGTCGCGAATCCTGAACGAGGCAGTGTCCCAGGTTTTCTCAGTACATACGGCAATCACGTATGGACAACACCTACCGCCTCCAATGGGCAATTCCCTGCTGAGATTGCGAATATGCGTCCTCTAATAGACCATGGCGTTGCAATTGAAAAGAGCCGCGAGACGACACATGAACATCTGGCTTATGAAGGGGTGTTAACGGCAGGGACCCTTTTAGCTGAAAGCCAAGAGCAGTTGGCAAGTCGGCGACAGCGGACCTATTCCGTAACAGAATTGGAAACTTACGCCAAGTGTCCGTTTCAGTACTTTGTCAATAACGTTTTGAGGTTCCGTGTTGAGGAGGACGAAACAGAAGATGAGTTATCCAGTCTTGAAAGGGGATCGTTGCTTCACAAAATTCTCTTCATATTCTACTACAATCGTCGGGAGCGGGAAGATCCTCCCATCGGACGATGTAATGATGCTGACTTTGAAGAAGCCATACAACAATTGGATGAAATTTTAGAGAATGCTTCTGAAGAACGCCGCGGACAGCGGAAAGAAACTCCTATCGGTGAGAATAATCTCTTTTGGGAGACCGACATAGGGAAACTCCGTGTCGCGTTACGCAAGTGGCTTGAAGCAGAACGAGTCTATGATTTGTCTGTTGTGCCACGTTATTTTGAAGTCGGTTTTGGACCGGAAGGTGAGCCGAGAAATCCGGAAAGCAGGAGAGATCCAGAACTCAGTTGCACTACGCCGATCTCTATCGGCAACGTGCACATGACTGGCAAAGTAGATCGCATTGATATCGGTAACGGTGCCTTTAATGTTATCGACTATAAGACCGGCAGCTCCACCATTAGAATGCCGGAGATTCTTAGCGGACGCAGCCTTCAACTCCCATCTACCTACAGATCGCAAAGAAATTGCTCGATGATCATGGAATCACAGGATTAGAATCAGCATCAGGTCTCTATCATAAAATCAGACTGGACCAATGCACAGTTGAACTCGGTATCGGAACGGAATTCTTAAACGGTGATGCATTCAAAAACTACAACGGTACAGATTGGAGATCGGTTAGTTCACGAAGTGGTCAGTTATTAGAGGATGAAATTTTCGATGATCGACTTGTGCGTATCAGTGGCTACGTACAACAGTACGTTGACAGCATATCTAAAGGGCAACTTCCCTCTGATCACACGCGTCAAAACATTTGTAAGACCCAAAGAAGAATCTGAGAAAAATGATTGTGTAGAGATTGGCGAAATCCCTGAAGGATACGGCTTTGTAGAGACTGAAGCTGATGGCGATAAACCGCTTACCCCCAGCAATAAGACAGAACCCTGTAGTTATTGTGCCTATAAGCGTGTCTGCCGTGTCGGCGCAATCTCTGAAGTAAGCCAATCAGACGACTAACCTGCCTATCTCCGATCTTCGCTGACGGGGTTTGAAACCTCCGCCTTTCTAAACCCTACATATCAATTCGCACCAGAAAAAACTTGCACACTTCCGACAAATCTGCTATACTTTTTTAGGTTTTTAAACAGATTGTTTGCACACCCTTTGGCGTGCAACTTGCAAGCACACGTTAGAAAAATAAAATAGGAGGCTATTTTTTAAATGGCACACACATTACCAGCGCTCCCCTATGCGCACGATGCTTTGGAACCCCACATTGATGCACAGACGATGGAAATCCATCACGGCAAACACCATCAAGGCTACGTCAACAATCTCAATGCTGCCTTAGAAGGGCTTGGTGCGCTCGCCAACATGGATATTCACGAATTGCTCAGCAATATCGACCAAGTGCCAGAAGCCAAGCGTCAAGCCGTTATCAACAACGGTGGCGGACACGCCAATCACTCTCTCTTCTGGTCCATTATGAGCCCCAACGGTGGCGAACCCGGCGGAGAAATTGCAGCAGCGATAACCTCCACCTTCGGATCACTTGAAACCGCGAAAGAGCAGTTTGTTACTGCCGCAACTACACGCTTCGGTTCCGGCTGGGCATGGCTTGTGCTCGGCGACAGCGGCTTGGAAATCTACTCCACGGCAAATCAGGACAGCCCGATTATGCAGGGACATACCCCGCTTCTCGGAGTCGATGTCTGGGAACACGCATACTATCTGAAATATCAGAATCTGCGTCCAGCCTACGTTGAAGCGTGGACAAACGTCATCAACTGGACACGGGTTAACGAACTCTACGTGGCGAACGCCTAACTTTCCATAACAACTTTTGGGTGTGGTAGAGGTAGGCGCGAACAGCGTTTCAAACCTACCCTCTACTTCCCCAAGTAGCAGACGCGCTCCGTTATACTTCCGATCCTTCATTACCCCACGAAATATGATGCCAATGAAATCGTTAGAACCCCAGGGTTTTTGACTTATAATACCAAATTAACCCCATTTGTAGCGCGAGGTCCCTGTGCCTCGCAATGCTAACTTGATCAAAAGACTTCTAATCAAGTTAATTTGGTATAAGGGGAAGCTGCTTTTTGGGATTATCTGATGCTAATGCGGCATCGGATGGATAGTCCTATCAACGTGGGCTGTTGTTAAACATTCAACACTGCGAAACAATAGCACCGAGAGGTGTAAAATGCCGAGACGTAAACCGTATACAAGCGTCGTTAAAACGAATCAAATTCGTGCAGAACATGTTCACAGGATGGGAGATGTAGTTTTCAAGGGTTTCCAGTGTTTGAACAGTGAGTGTCAGGAATTTATCTTCATCCGTAAAAATGAAATTGGTGATGATTTTGAAATTGTTTGTCCGAGTTGTGAGATAATTATGCTGTCTGGGGACGAAACTCAATTCTATGAGTACAAACTGGAAAATAGGAGCGACAATTCCATTATTGAGGAGGGCACGTTTACAATTCTGCACGATGACTATATTGAGGAGGCGCAAGAGTATAAATATTGCATCATCTGTAATACGGTTAAACCGCTTGCTTTATTTGATCGACATGGTGGTCGGAAGTCTGGTCGTCAGGGTGAATGTAGGTTATGCAAAGCAATTTACAACTCCATTAAAAATAAAACTCGATTGACAGATCAACACCGTGAAGCTGCACAAAAACGGCGGATGTATCTAAATCTCTCTGGGAGTACGAAAATTAAGAGCGAAGAAATCTACAAGCGTTTTGGTTATTGTTGTTTTAAGTGTAAGAAAGACCTCCGAAAAGTTGATAATAAAGAACGTCCACTTGATCATACATTGCCTGCAGTTTTTCTATGGCCTCTGACAACCGAAAATGCAACCCTGTTGTGCAGAGAACACAACACGGAGAAATCAGATAAGTGGCCTTCGGCATATTACTCGGATAATGAATTAAAGGCTCTTGCTGTCATGACAGGTGTTCAATACGAAATACTTGCTGGGCAACCGCACTATAACCCTGAGGCAATTGAATGTCTTAAGACATCTGAGCAAGTCTATCAACTTCTGACAAAATATGCTTCCTATATGCCAGAAATTATCAAATTACGCAACCGAATTTTTAGAGTATGAAAATTTTGATTTTTTTCTACATTCAACAACTATTTCGCCCGCTTGGGTTCGACAAGCCAATCAGGAGTACCAACAAGTAATTCGTCAGGAAGTGGATGCTAATACAACACAAGATATTGATGAGACGTAACTGTTCCTTTATCACGAATACCATGAGATTCACAATGAGCAACGCTTTCATCGAAAACATCCACTGATCGAAACCACCGCTTACCAAGTTTCTGCAAATGATCCGCCATATCACACTTAACACTTTTGCCCAGATGCAGAACAACCACGCCATTAGATTTAAGTCGTTCTTTCGCTTGACGAAGAATTGGGATATATACGTCAAAACTACTTTTCTGTCTTTCATCAACGAAAGCTGATGGACATGTTTTAAAATCATGGGCAGACCAGCCCGAAAACCATAGCCGCAACCAATTCGCAGAGTAAAATCGGGTACTATCAAAGAAAGGAGGAGATGTAATAACGCTATCCAGTTGATCAATCTCTCTGGGCCACCAGCTTGTTGCATCTTGGAAAAATATCTTCCCCGGTCGAAAATTCGTAGGCAAATCTTCATCCAGGCCCCGCTGAACTTTCGCATGTAGTTGATTGATCAATGGGCGATATTCATAAGAGCCAGTGGGTTTGTAAGGTGTAAGAGGGTGTGAACGTCGACTCAGGGCGTACGGACGATTGCCATGTAAAATATGGAGCAGCGAAGCAAACACAAATCGATCTTCAGGTGTCTCTGGTGGATGCATTTGAAAGTAGCGTCGCGCCAAGAGAACTTCTCTCAAGGTTTGAGGTTCGTAATATTCAGCTATCTTTCCATTAAACCCCAGGTGATTTGCTTCAGTAACCTCTGTATCTGTAACCGAGTGACAGTCAATAAAATCTTCTACTGTTTCAATAACTGTTGTGCACCCCAGTTGCGTCGGTTGTTGTACCTTCGCACTGGCGATAACAAAAGCAGCAGGACTTATCTCAAAACCGTAGGCGTTTTTGCCAGCCAATGCTGCCTCAAATGGTATAGTACCAACACCCGCGAATGGATCTAAAACTCTTCCATCTTCTGGAACAAATGTTTGTACCAAGTGGTGTGCAATAGCAGGTTTAAGTTTGCCCGGATAAGAGCATAGCGAATGCCGAGCGTGTCCCCAGTTCCGTTTTATAAACGGTGTTTTCTGGTGAGGTAGGTTTTGCTTGAAGGTATTCCATTCAGAGGACCAGTTCACGGTTCGTTTTTTAGATGTTTTTCTTTTCTGCTTGGTGTTGTACTTAAAAACAAGTAATGATTGTTTGAGCAGCATTCCGCCTCTGGATTTACGTTTTCGTAGTGTCACGGAATCTTCTTGGACAAAACCGAGTTCTTGCAAGCATGCTGACAACAACCCATCTACTGGAACATGGGTGCCCGCGTAACAAGAATCACCAATATCAATTGCAATTGTTGCCTCAGGGGTTAAATGTGGACGGATTGATTGAAATATCTCTGTCATTTCGCTAAAATAACTGGTAATCATGCGGGGAATGCGGGAATCATAAGCATTTTGCTCGAGTTTAGAGACAATCTTTTGAACATCTGGGTGGGATAGAGTAGGTGTTTTTGAAACAGTTACATCGTTGATACCCGCGGTCAGGGCAGCAGCTCGAAAACTTGTCAAATCCTTTTTTTCTTTCAGGCAGCGCAAGAACCACAATTCTATCTTAGTGTTGCGAAAATAATTTGTTCCATTGACATAGGGCGGACTTGTTATTACGGCATCAATGCTGAGAGGTGATATGCTACCTAACGAGCGAGCATCTTCACATATTAGCAATGGTTCAGTCCTCAATCCGTCAGTATCGTTTTGGATATCATGAACTATCTGATCAATGTTTTGGCAGATCCCTTCAATGAGTGGTACTATTTGCCGTTCAAGTTCCGTGATTGTTTTGTATCTCAAATCACCGGATCGTTTCATTCGAGATGCAGGAACAAGTGCCGATAGGGTTGCAACCGTGATGAGGTCGGCTAAGATCGGATTTTCAAAGGCAACTTCATCAATCCACGAGCGAATCCGTAAAACTTGGTCATAAACAAGATCATCGAAAAACAAACTATCACCAAAGGTTTGCGCGTATGCTTGATCTAAGGCATAATTTTGCGGATATTTTTCGAGCTCTTTTAGTGAAACTTTGGCTTGGGCAAGGGCTTGAGCCAATGAGGAGCGTTGAGATGATTTTAATCGCCTAATTTGTATCTTTGTTAAACTCATAAACTGCAAAACTGGATTTATTTCACAGAAGTAAGCAGTTTTGTTAAGTTGTGATGCAGTGAAAGCCGTTGTTCCTGTTCCTGCAAACGGATCAAGGATAGTCTGGGCATTCGGTACGTACCTTTCCAAAATAGATTCCACAAACTGAGTTGAATATCCCTCTAAGTACGGGTACCATCGAGCAAAGGGTTCTTTTCGACCACGCTTAAAAGTCACAGTCATCGGATCAAATAATTCCGTTTTGGAATTGATGCCTGGCAAATATAGTTGAACAGCGGGGTCCCGAATGAGATTTATGGAATGCTCTAATTGGTGAAGGCAATAGGCATTTAAAGGTAAATTGTCGGCTTTAGCATTGGCCACAAGAGTTGGATAGTCATTACCCAATAGTTGGCGCAGCTCGGCACTCGAAAGTCCTTTAACACACTCATAAATTTTGTCTGTTTCCTTACCAAAGGCTAAAGTTAGCGATTTTTTTTGGGGACTTTCTGCTGGGTGTTCAGGAAAATAAACAGATTTGTATTTTTGAGCCATCAATTTTATCCTCTGATACTGAGAGTCATTATTTTTTTATCCTTTGACACTGCATGTATATACTACCATATTATGGTAGTTTTTTCAATAAATTAATCAACCTACATTGTTACTTGTACAAAATGCATCGTACTATTTTATCGGATGGTAGATTGGATATTTCTATCCGATTGCTGTTATAGTCAATTTGTTTTCTCAAACGAAATTTTCTTGACATCTCCGTTTAAATGTGTTATACTTAAAATATAAAGATAATTCTTTTTAGCGCGCCTGTGAAACTGCATAAAGCGGCGTGCGTAATTAACATCTAAATAGATTACCCAAAAAAAGCGTTGAAGGGGAGGAGTAAGTCGATCGGGCTTGCGAGAGATGGAGACTCATGGGCTGGAAGGTCTCCTCAAGTTACCACGACTGAAGGTCGCCCTGAAGCTGCTAACCTGAACAAACACCAGTAGGGTTAGTCGGTCCGATGCCCGTTATCGCATCCCAAAGAGTGCTCTTTCTCGTTACAGGATGGCTTTCTAAGCCTGGCACCTTAACTTAATGAGAAAGGGAATTGGAGTGGTACCACGGTAAGGTCAGTGTAAATGTCCTTCTCGTCTCCAGATATGGAACGAGAGGGTTTTTTTAATTTCATTTCTTTTCTCTGTGTACCCTCTACTCATTTTTCTCCGTTGTCGAAAAATGGGTGTCTGCTCTGATCTATGTGAGTATGTTGCTCGGTACGCCTGTAAAATCGCTACCGAGTTGCGAAAAGGTGTCAACTTGAACCAAAATTTGGTTTTGGACAACGGACAAAACGGTCAAAACCCAATCTTTAAAAAAGGAAAATTGGCATGGAACTTTCAGGAGCACAAATCCTGGTTGATAGTCTCAAACGGGAAGGTGTCGAATATATCTTCGGCGTGAACGGTGGCGCAGCGATGCCGATTTTCGATGCCCTGTACGGTGAGACAGAAGTCAAATTGATTCCGATGCGGCATGAGCAAGGGGCTTCCCACGCCGCTGATGGTTATGCACGCGCCACCGGAAATGTCGGTGTCGTACTCGCAACCTCCGGTCCCGGTGCAACCAATCTCGTCACAGGGATCGCTACCGCCTATATGGATTCCATTCCGATGTTGCGATTACTGGACAGGTTTTCACGCATTATATCGGCAGTGATGCCTTCCAAGAATGCGACGTTATCGGCGTAACACGACCCATCTGTAAGCACAGTTACCTCATCAAAAGTAGTGACGAGATAGCAGATGTTGTCGCCGAAGCGTTTTACATCGCGAGCACCGGAAAACCCGGTCCCGTAATCATTGACATCGCCAAAGATGCACAGATGACACAAAACACTGTTTCAATATCCAAAAGCAGTTGACATCCGTAGTTACAAGCCACAAGTTCATGGTGATCCGGCGCAAATTGCCAAGGCAGTAGCACTGATTAAAGAAGCCAAATGTCCCATGATTTATGCCGGTGGCGGTGTGGTCCTTGCCAACGCCAGCGAGGAACTACAACAGTTTACCCTTAATACGCAGATCCCAATTACCGTTACCTTGATGGGGCTTGGCGCGTTCCCTGAGACACATCCGTTGGCGATGGAGATGCCCGGCATGCACGGCTCTTGTTGCGCAAATTACGCCTTCACCGATTCAGACCTTGTTATTGCTGTCGGTGCGAGATTTGACGACCGCGTTACAGGTGATCTCGGTAAATTCGCACCTAATGCTAAGAAAATCCATATCGATATCGACGCGTCCTGTATCGGGAAAAATGTACCTATAGATGTCCCGATCGTCGGCGATGCGAAAAATGTCCTAACGGAACTCAACAAACAGGTCAGTACAGCGGATATTGATCCGTGGCGCGACCAGATTCAGGAGTGGAAGCAGAAGTACCCGTTTGAATACGAGCAAAAATCCGATATAGTCATGCCCCAATTCGTTATTGAGAAAATCTACGAACATTACAGCGATGCTATTGTTGTCGCGGATGTCGGTCAACATCAGATGTGGGCAGCACAATACTTCAAGTTCACTGAACCTCGACAGTGGCTCAATCTCTGGCGGTCTCGGCACAATGGGCTTTAGCCTCCCTGCCGCTATCGGGGCGCAGCTCGGATGTCCAGACAAAACCGTCGTTAATATCAACGGTGACGGGTCCTATATTATGACGATTCAAGAACTCGTGCCAGCGGTTACGATGAAGCTGCCACTTAAGATCTTTATCATCAACAATATGTACTTGGGGATGGTGCGTCAGTGGCAGGAATTGTTCCACGGCAAACGCTATTCCGCTGTTGATTACCACGACAACCCCGATTTTGCCTTGCTTGCACAGGCATTCGGTGCCACAGGTTTGCGAGTCGAACACCCCGATGATGTTGAACCCGCATTGCAAAAGGCAAAAGGGATTACCGACGGTCCCGTCGTCATTGACTTCATTGTTGATGAAGAGGAAAACGTGTTCCCAATGGTACCAGCCGGTAAAGGGCTCGGAGATGTTATCCGCGGGTTATCCTAATCCAATTCTATGTGCGGTCCTCAACCGCACCTTACCCACAATCACAACAGCGAGGTAGGTTCCCACGCCGAGAATTTTGATGAATCCAGAAGAACGACACATTTTTTCCGTTTTAGTCGAAAACCGATTCGGAGTCCTTGCACGCGTTGCAGGACTTTTTAGCGGGCGCGGCTTTAATATCGACAGTCTCAACGTCGCTGAGACACATGACAAAAGTATCTCACAGATTACCCTTGTTACGCACGGGGACGCGCAGATCATAGAACAGATCTACCACCATCTAAATAGACTCATTGACGTTATTGAGGTGACCGACCTCTCCACTGCCGGGACCATGTTGAGCGCGAGCTTGTGCTTATCAAGGTTGCTACCGATGATACTCAAAAACGCACCGAGATTCTACAAGTTGCGGAAGTCTTCCGTGGGCGGGTTATAGATATGAAACCTGCCTCCATTGTCCTTGAAATTACAGGTGATGAGGGTAAATTGAAAGCGGCGATTGATATTTTCAATACGTACGGTATCCTTGAATTAGCACGCACTGGCAAAGTAGCGATGCTGCGTGGATCCGAAAAATAGGATATAGTTTTCAGCGGTCAGTTAACCCTTTGTGGCATTGGGATTACAAACCCCTCCCACGATGGTTACAAACGTGTTACTGATAACTGACTACTGACAGCCAAAAAAGGAATAGACTTTATGGCAACGATTTATTACGAGAGTGATGCCAATTTTGATTTACTGAAAGAGCGCACAGTCGCTGTCGTCGGTTACGGCGCGCAGGGACGTGCACAGTCGCTAAACCTTAAAGACAGCGGTGCAAACGTGATCGTCGCATTGTACGAGGGCAGCCGTTCAAAAGCTCGCGCAGAAGCGGAAGGTTTGACCGTCAAGAACGTTGAAGAAGCCGCAGCAATGGCGGACATCGTCCAAGTTCTTATCCCTGACGAACGCCACGCAGCTGTCTATCGCGACCAGATCGCACCGAATATGGAAGAGGGCAATATGCTCCTCGTCTCACACGGATTCAGTGTCCACTTTGGGCAGATTGTGCCTGCTACCGACATTGATGTTGCGATGATCGCACCGAAGGGACCCGGTTCCCTTGTCCGCGAGGTGTTTGAAGGTGGTGGTGGTGTACCCTGTCTCATTGCTATTCATCAAGACACAACCGGTCTTGCACGCGATGTCGCACTCGCTTACGCAAAAGGTATCGGTGGTACTCGCGCCGGTGTTATTGAAACGACGTTCCGTGAGGAAACCGAGACGGATCTCTTCGGTGAGCAAGCCGTGCTGTGTGGTGGAACCGCTGCACTCATTAAAGCCGCCTTTGATACGCTCGTTGAAGCCGGCTACCAACCGGAGATGGCTTACTTTGAGTGCCTCCACGAATTGAAGCTGATTGTTGACCTGATCTATACCGGTGGGTTGAGCAAGATGCGCAATGATGTCAGCAATACCGCCGAATACGGCGACCTAACACGCGGTCCGCAACTCATTGACGATAGCATCCGGGACAAGATGCGCCAAATCTTGAAGGACGTGCAAGGTGGTGTTTTCGCAAGAGAGTGGGTGCTGGAAAATGAGGCGAACCAACCCGTCCTTGGCGCGCTCCGTCGGCAAGAATCAGAACTGCAGATTGAGGAAGTCGGCAAAAATCTCCGCAGCATGATGAGCTGGCTTGACGAATAGGTTGTCCTTCCCAAACCCTGTAGGTGCGGTTTTCAACCGCACCATAGGTGTCAATTTAGGGAAAATAGGTATGCTTTGTTCTAAGAAAAATGCTGTAAATCGGAAACACCTCTTGTATAATGTAGAAAAAGATTAGAGTTGTTATTTCTACAAAAAAGAGGTATTTCCAATGTCCATTTTACACCAAGTGCCGGCTAAAATGCAAATGATTCTTGAAACTGTCCCAGATGAAGTCGCCGTCAATACAGGTCTCGTCAAGAGAAAGCGAAAACTTACCGGGAGTGCGCTGGCGCAAATCCTCGTCCTCGGTTGGTTGGAAAACCCAGAGGCGAGTTATCAGCACCTCACTGAAACCGCTGCGGCACTGGGTATACAAGTCAGCCGACAAGCTCTTGAGCAACGTCTGACCCTTGAAACGACTGAAATGTTGAAACTCACACTTGACGCAGCGACGACCGAAATGCTTGAAGTTGCCGGACGCCGAGAAGCCCTCCTTTACTTCAGCAGTTTCAGGGTGTCTATGTTCAAGATAGCACGTGGATAACACTCCCTGATGAACTCCACGAAACTTGGAAGGGACAACCGAAAAAGAATCATCCGCATAAAGCGGCTTTGAAACTTCATCTCTGCTTTGATGTGCTGACGGGTGGCTTTCAAGACTTCCAACTCACCGATGGCATGACGGCGGATGCCACCGCCGCAAAAGCGGCTGCCCCACTGCCAGAAGGGAGTTTACGGCTCGCAGACCTGGCGTATTTTTCGCTCGATGAACTTGAAAAACTTACTGAAAACGGTATCTACTGGGTCTCGCGTTTGAAAGCGAACTCTTCCCTCGCTGATGATAAAATGGACAACGCATGGATTTAGAAAAGATGCTCAAGAACGCTGAAGAAGACATCTACATCCGTAAGGCGATTCAGATCGGTAAAAGAAAGCAACTTCGGGTGTACTCGTCGCTCAAAGACTTTCTGAAGCAGAGACGAACCAAACGCAGACGCTACATCAGACGCCGGGCGAGCGAAACGGAAGGCAAAAACGCCTTCAAAAGCACTCTTACGACTCGCTGGATGGAACCTCTATATCACCAATATGAAGAACACCGGCTCACACCGAACAGCTCTGTGTCATTGTCGGCATCCGTTGGCAGATTGAACTGAGTATAAGTGTTTCAAAAGCATTGGAAAACTTCAGAGCTCGCGAAGTCAGAAACCCTATCGCATACTCTCGGAAATCTATGCCAAACTTATCGCACTTCTCATACAGCCACCCGTCAGTGAGCCGCAGGATGGCGTTCGTATTGTATACAACATCTCGCTCAGACGAGGGCAAAGGGGGCAACGGCGAGCGAGAGCAGATCAGGGAGTGGCGGCGCACGCAACGAAAGACGGATGGGAGGACAACGGAAAAAGAAAGAAAGACCGGGGGAAAAGGAGACGCTCTCAGAAAAAGAGACGGGGAAAAAAGGACAAAGGGTGCGCAAACTCAAAGAGGCGACAGAAAAAAAAAAAAAAGGCGCCGGCCCGGCCCGGGCCAAAGCACCGGTACAAAAGGAAAGCCGGGACAAAAGCACAAAAAGGGGGGCCCCAGCTCCCACCGGCGCCCAAGCGGGGGGGGGGCCGGGGGGCGGAAAGCCGGCGCCCAAAGCGCCCGGGGGCCCGGAAGCACAATGAAACGGGGGGGCGGCCGGCTACCGAGCCGAGGGCCACCCGGAAAAAGGGGGGGAAAGAAGGGAAGGCCAAGCCCCAAAAAGGGGGGCCAGGGCCTCCCGAGAAAAAGGGGGCCCCCCAATGGGGGGGCAAGTGAGCCCATAAAAAGCCACACAAAAAAAAAAAAATAAAAAAGGGCCGGCACAAGGCTCCCGACGGAAAGCCCAAAAAAAAAGGGGGGGGAAAAAAAAGGAAAAAAAGAAAGGGGGGCCCGCAAAAAAAGTAGGCCGCGGCAAAGGGGGCACCTGCCCTCCCGAGAAAAAGGCCCAAAAAAGGCCCTTTTTCCTTCCAAAATCCAACCTAAAAAAATCCTCCCCCCTCCCAACTTAAAAATTTCCCTAAATGACACCTATGGCGCGGTTGGGAACCACACCATAAGTGTCAATTTAAGAAAAAATAACCCTCGCTGCCCCAGAAACGGTAGGCGCTGTTTGAAACTGCGCCGGATTTTACACACAACCTTGGCTACTTCAGACCCCTCTTGAGTCCTGTAAGGTTTATTTGCTTGGGTGTTTCTTCAGTATGTTTATAGAAAGGCATGGAAAAAAATAATCTAACCCTGTAAGGGTGGCATGTTTATATTCGCTGCTCCCAAAACCCTAAATTGACACCTATGGTGCGGTTTTCAACCGCACCATAAGTGTCAATTTAAGAAAAAATAACCGTCGCGGTCCCCAGGAACGGTAGGCACTGTTTGAAACTACGCCGGGTCATAGATAAAAACCTTGCGTCCCGTGAATGGCTCTTTAGTCCCATAGGGACGGCATGTTTATAGCAGCGTTTTCGAGCAAAGACCTAAGCCCTGTAAGGGCGGCATGTTTATATCTACAGTTGCCAAAACGCTGTCAAAAATCGCTAAATTGACATGTATGGTGCGGTTTGATGAAGATTCAAAAAATAATTCGGTAATTTTTGGCGAAGCCCGGTGCGGTTAGGAATGCAGATCGCATTTGGGTGAGTACACCGCAAAACCGCACCTACCGGGCCTGGGGAGAATTGGAATTACCGATTTAAATACTGAAACTTTATGCAACCGCACCATACATGTCAATTTAAGAAAAATAATAGCCTCGGTTCCTAGGTCCGGTAGGCGCGGTTTCTAACCGCGCTGGCACCTAAATACAAACTTTGTACACCGCAGAACTCCTCTTTAGTCCCGGAGGGTTTATTTGCTTGGGTATTTCTTCAGCATCTGTGTAGAAACTGCATCAACCAAAGACCTAAGCCCCAGAGGGGCGGAAACCTCTGTAGAGAGGCTGCTACAAAACTGAGAAATATCCCTAAATTGACACGTATGGTGCGGTTTCATGAGGTTTAAGAAAATAATTCGGTAATTCTATTAACCGCACCGTCTCCTTCCAAATCCAGTAGGCGCGGTTTGTAACCGCGCTGGCATCGTTAGAATATTACCGAATTAATATTCTAATCTTCAGCCAACCGCACCGATTTGTGAGAGTCAAATCTGCTACGCGCGCTTGGTAAGTACACCGATCATTGCAGCATGGTCGAGGAGGTCAACCGTGAAGTTCAAAGGACATCTACTGGACGATACCGTCAAAAGCGTTTACGGATTAGCAGTCGCTGATATAAACGGTGATGGTCAACTCGACATCATCGCAGGCTCCACAGGCGACCCCATCGTTGCTTGGTACGAGGCACCCCACTGGAAAAGACACCTCGTAACCGATCAGGGCAGCGGACACATCACTATTGCGCCTTACGATCTGACCGGCAACGGTACACCTGACCTTATCGTTGGAAGTGGTTTCAACCGCGGCGTAAACGCTGCCGGTGGCTACCTCCATTGGCTTGAGGCACCGGTACAAGACGGACAGAATTGGAAGAGCCACCACATCGCTGATGTGCCTTTCATCCACCGCATCGCGCTCGCAAATTTGTCAGAAAGAGGGTCGAGCTCAACGCCTTTCCTCATCGTCGCATCAATCCGTGGTGAAGACGGCAAACCCGGCGAATGGCGCAGTCCCGGCTCCCTCTGGTGCTATGAACTGTCAGATACCCCACAAGACACAGCCTCTTGGCAATCCCACCTCCTTGACGATTCTCTTCATATCAATCATGGTCTGAGCATCAACGATGTCGATCAGGATGGACGCGATGACGTACTGATTAGCTGCACAGAAGGCTTTAATCTGGTATGAGCCTCCTGTTGCCCCGATGACAGACGATTGGGGAAAATGGGTTATCAGCGACCGCGAGTGTAGCGACACATTCGCTGCCGACATTGATGGCGATGGTGTCAACGAGATTTTAGCGATTGAGCCGTGGCACGGCAACAATCTCGTCTGGTATAAAGCCACTGGCGATCTACGAACCGACCCGTGGGAGCGTCACCTCATCGATGACACACTCAATCGCGGACACTCCCTCGCCGCCGTTGACGTTGATGACGACGGTGTCCTTGAGGTGATTTGTGGCTACAACGGCGAAGGTACAAGTTTGCATCTCTACCGTCCAGAGAATCTGGCACATAATCACTGGCGTAAAGAGACGATCGACGATGGCGGTTTAGGCGTTGGACAGATGCATGTCTTGGACATGAACGGCAACGGTAGGTTAGACATCGTTGCCAGCGGTCTCAGCACCGGCAATGTCAAGTGGTATGAAAACCTTCCCAGTTGAGAAACATTCGCCTCTCATCATTGCGAAATATCTCTCCAAAACAAGAAAACACACCCTTCGCTAGCGAGGTCTCCTAACTTCGCCACCATGATTCTAAACCGGGTAGGTACACTTTTCCATTAACGGGTGGAGACCCCAGTTTGCACCGCACTATAGGGGCAATTTATAGTAAAATCTAAAAATACTTTGACATTTCCACGGGCAATCCATCCCGTTCACCGCATTGCTGGCGAGGTTTTGCGGTGTACTCACCCAAATGCGATCTGCATTCCTAACCTCGCCACATCAGACAGTGTAAACTTACTATAGTTTCCTTGTTTTTGTCCCAATGAAAGCATGATTTGATTACTTGCTTTAGGGTGTGTGAAAGTAGAAATAACGTGCCATTGAAGTTCTAAAAAGGTTATGATATAAGTGTTAGAACCTAAACCTTTTTGGAGGTCTTCAATGGCAAAAAGAAGTATAGCAAAAAAACGGAAAAAGCACAATGGTAAAAAATGGGTGGTAACGCCTCAGGCGCCGTTGTGTGCTCTGGGTGAAGTGTTGCGGGTTCGTGAGGTATTTCAGCCCCTCCATGACACGGTGAATATCGGGCAGAAAACAGTTGTGTATCGTCCGACAGACAAGTTAGTTTTTGTGGTGTTAGGGATGCTATCGGGTGCGGAGACGGTGTCTGAAATCCAAACCAAAGTTCGCTCGGATCGTGGCTTGTTAGGTGGCTTTGGCTACCAAAGATGTGCGGATGCGTCGGTGATCCAGCAGACGTTAGATGCCTCAACGGAGGCGACTGTTGCTTCACTTGAATCTGCTTTAGCGGAGGTGCGTCTCAAACAAGGTCAGGGGCGTCAGGTGTCTTTGGGGGCTGAAGATGAGATAGGTGTGGATATAGACCTCTCTTCCTTGCCGATTGGCAAGCATGCCGAGGGTTCAGAGAAAGGATATGTCGCGAAAAAGCCGAATACTTATACGCGTCAGTTGGCACGGTGTGTCTGCGGAGACACCCAAGAGATATTTACGCAGGCGTTATACCCCGGTAAAACCAACAGCGATGCTGTTTTCAAGCCGATGCTCGGCAAACTTGAGACTGTTTTGACGCTTGATAGCGTTGAGAAACGGAGCCGAGTTCGGCTTCGCTTTGATGCCGGATTTGGCACGGATGCCAATATCAATTATGCCTTATGGCGGGGGTATCGCCTCATCGGGAAGATGTATAACTCCCGCCGGATCCAAAAGTTAGCGGCCCCCATGGAGGAGTGGGTGTCTGTGCCAACGTCGAAAGGCGTCAAGGGTAGAGAAGCAGGGTGGGTTCAACAACCGCATCGGTATGCGAGACGGACGGTTCAAGTCGCTGTGAGAACACCGAAAAAAGATGGCACTTGGAGTTATGCCGTGTTGGTTTCAACCGACACGACCGCAACGCTTGAAGAACTGCTGCTTGAATATGACAAACGCAGTGGGGCCCCGGAGAACTCTTTCGCCCAAGATTATCAAGCCCTCTCTTTGCGAAAATACAGAAAGACAGGATTTATCGCACAGCAAGTTTTGCTTTTACTCGCAGAACTCGCCCATAACCTGATGATTTGGATGAAAGCGTGGTTCATAGAGGCGGTTAAGATACCTGAAGGGGCCTCGGAGCCAACCGAAAACGCACACCGAAAGGCAACGGAGATGCTTCAAAGCCGAGGACTGAAACGGTTGAGGCGAGACATCTTGGCGATCCCAGGAAAAATCTGCTTCGACGGTAAGAAGGTCGTTGGCATACGGATCAACCCTTTATATCCCTTCATACAGCA